CATGTTTAGAACATAAGTCATCTTTAATTGGCAATAAAACAATTGGGGGAGAATTATGTCATTGATGAAGTACAAATATAATCAAACTAGCCAGTCAATCACTGAAGAGAACACACATGAAAGCAAATCATCCAGTTCACAGTCACACAGAAATGTTTTAGGTCCATGCTGAGCAAAATCCCCAAAATTTTATTCTGGACCTTTCTCAGTACTCTCAACTGTAGTCTGCTAGATAATTCATTGGCCAGCAACCTAAAAACTAAAGTATTTACCTCCAAGTGGAACTCTGTAGCTTACCATGAAAATGGAGCTCAATACCCAGTATTCCATGATTTTATAGAGAAGTTGGCTTTATTTCTCTATGTCTATTATTATTAGCAATATTTTTATTACCTGCATTGCAACTCTTCCTTAAGACAAATCATCTATTAAGTAAAACATCATGGTTACTGTTTAAGCATTTCTCTAGCCACAAGTTTCTTAAAGTTTAGAAGATTGCCCACTACTGTTGCCATGATAATTGTGATAAATATTTTTTTCTTAGAAAGAATAGTGTCACCTTCCTGTTTTCTAAAGCCTCTTTATTCTTCAAACATCAAGCCTCAGCCACCCATCATCACCACCATCATGACCACACCAACAGCAGCAATAAAGAGGGAAGTTATTCTTCCTGTTCTTACACGGACACTATGCTATGCTTCTGGATTATGTTCAGGTGAATGGGAAACCTATCTGGTAGGTAAAAAACTTACAAGATGCTAACCAAGCCTTTTTGTTTTGTTTTTAACCAAAAAGAGGTGTTTGCTTTTCACTGTTTTAATTACACACATGCTATTCTTTAGAGAGGACCACAAAATACACAAAGATTCCTGAAATAAAGAGTCAACCTTTCCCCAGTTCAGAACTCAGTATTAACAGTCATACAAAATATGTAAACTTGTCATAAGTTGCAAAAAACAGATCTTAGTTCAGTCAGTAACAACATATGAAAGATTCTTAAACACATTTGGACAATTTACAGCCAGGACTCTCCCCAAGGCATAAAAATGACCAGTTGATAAATGTATGGTTGGCAACTATTTCCAGTTACTTATTTGTAAAAACTTATCAATTCCCAGAAGATTTTAACGTGAAAAAAATCAAGGCCCACTCTATTTTCACATGTACTATAATATTCAAACAAGCTATGTATCTTTTCTTATAAAGTTCAGCAAACTACAGACCAGTTTCTTCTGATGTTTGAAGCATATACAGTAAAAATATTTATGTGAAAACTTTTCAAATAAATAAATTTACCAACCAAGATCCAACTCTGCCTCGCGTGTACTGGTCTCTATGTTTTGCCACCATTCTATAAACTCTTGTCAGGATCCTAACATTCAAGACCACTGAGAACAGTGCTACTTTTAAAAATATGATAATGTCATATGAGTCCTGGAAAGAATTGACGTCTGGTGATTTATTTTGCAACCCTATTAAATCCTTATCACCTATATCTTACCCTACCATAACCCTAGACTGTTCAGGAGCTGTGCTGTCATGTTAATTCCCCCAATTCTCCAATGCTGTCTCCACTGTACTTTAGAGCTCTTGTGCCATGTCCTTTTGAAGAATAACCTTTGCCAGTAGTCCTGGGTTCATAGTCTGGCTTCTCCACTTAGTAACCATGTGACATTTGGGACAGTTATTTGATTTATCAAGGTCTAGAGTCCTTGTCATAGGTAGAGGTAATAATAATAATAATATCTTCCTCCCAGGGGTGTCAGGATTTAATAGGGTTGCGTGCAATTATTTAATACTAAGGGCCCAGTGCATGATTTTGAGAACCATGAAAGGAACTGCGAGCTGTGAAGCTACAATAGGCACAGGGGCAGGTCTTGGCCCCTCCTCCATGTCCCCACCTGGCCCCTCCCTCTGTGGCCTCTGGTCCCCTGTCTGCCAGCAGCCCCACTCCCGCCACCACCACTACTCCACACTGATGGTGCTAGTCCTGCTCACACCCACTGATTGTGTGGAGTGACTGGGGCCAGTGCCAGCAGTGGGTGCGAGCAGCAGCTGCTGCCTGATCACCCCTCAGGAACAGGGGGATAGGAATAGGTGGAGAAACTATCCTATCTAAAGAAACATGTACTACATGTGGAGACATTTTATCCTGAGACCCTACGTATCTCACTTTTGACCCTTGGTGTCCCCAATTTGGAGTTTCAGTGAGGATTTCTCTAAGGATAAGAGAGGGGTGCTCAGATACTAGGAAGATGTGCACTTCAGATAATTGGAAGATGTGCACTAAGGATTCAGGGACAGACACTGTACTTTGTTGCTAGAGAAAGTATTTTGGCAAGTCTCAGAAGCAAAAATAATGCCATACCCAGATTTGCCCCAAAGTCACAAGCTAAAAGATATATTTAGCACAGTCAGGCATGCTCACATGTGACCTTGCCATAGCTACATGACCTTGCTATAACTAGGCAGGCCATTTCCAAATGCTGACATCGTATTTTTAATTTAAAAGAAAGAATACAATATCTGGTTTTAATTCCCATGATACAAAGAAGTCTTTTTCTAGTCACCAGAAGAAACTCTGAAACCTACTGATACTCCATTATAATAAAGATAAATATGGGAGCCAAAAAAAGAGAAAGTAAAAAATACAATGGGAGTGTAAAAGAAACATGTAATACATGTGGAGACATTTTATAATTCTACATACTTTGTACTGTATCTTATCTTTACAAGGAACTTAATAAAAGAACTAATAAATTCATTAATATGGAGAGAGTGATAAAAACAGAGAAGAGTTAAAAAAAAAAAAAAAAAAAAAAAAAAAAAAAAAACAGAAAAGGCCGAAACTGGTTTGGCTCAGTGGATAGAGCGTCGGCTTGGGGACTGAAAGGTCCTAGGTTCGATTCCGGTCAAGGGCATGTACCTTGGTTGCGGGCACATCCCCAGGAGGGGGTGTGCAAGAGGCAGCTGATCGATGATTCTCTCTCATCGATGTTTCTAACTCTCTATCTCTCTCTCTCTTCCTCTCTGTATAAAATCAATAAAATATATTTAAATAAATAAATAAATAAAACAGAAAAGGTGAGCAGGTAGAGAAAATAAGTCAACTAAGATAAACAGTGGAAGATGGAAAAAGAATGGTACGAAACAATGCAGAGAAGGAAGAAAGAGATGAAACTGGACAAATGGATAAAGAAATATGTATACATGGTGTATAGTGTGTGAATGTGTTTTCAGAGAGGCAGGAAGAGATTGAAATTAAGACATGTAAACTAGGGATTGAAAAGGAAAGAAATGGAGGAAAAGTTGAAGACTATAGGAAAGAAAGAGCAATTGTGGGAAGGATTTAGGATTTGTTAACTGCCCCAAATCTTTCAAAAACTTCTTATACCATCTTTTGCATCACCCTCTTGGTCTTTAAATTTGGCTGCTAACAAGGGGAATCTAATTTGTATATTGTATCTAATTTATTTCTCTTTAATCCCTCTATTCATTCTTCAGATGATTCTTGGAAACAAAATATCATATTTTAATAAGGCAAAACCCATAAGTCATATTTCCTTGAACTTTAAGGTAGACTGAAATTCAACCCAAAATTTATGAATGGAAGAGTAAATTTAGCAGAAACCTGGTTCTTAGCCCAGAAATGTACCAGCCTGATGCATTTGGCACTACATGTTCTCTGAAAAGTGACCAGATTTAAAATATAAGCGATTGAACAGAAAGGTCCGTGTTGCCTTTATTTGCATATCTATCTAATAATAGAATAATATGCAAATTAACCATCACCCTGCTACACCCACAAGCCATGCCCACTAGCCAATTAGGAGCAAATATGCAAATTAACCCAACCAACATGGCTATAGCCACAGAGCCAGCAGAGGCTTGGGTTTCTCCGGTAATGAAGGAAGCCAAGCTTTCCACACACTCTGGCTGGCCTAGGCCTCCACTCAAGGCTACAAAGTTTCAATTACAGAAGATAAATAAATTCCAGAGTGCAAAGGATGTCCCACTGCCAGCTTAGGCTCGCCGCTCCCCATCAGACATCCCTGAGGGCTCCCAGACTGCGAGAGGGAACAGGCTGGACTGAGGGACCATCCTGAAGTGCACAAATCTCATTCACCCGGCCTCTAATTAACAAATAAAACCAATCTGTATGTAAATATTGACATTCAAGGCCAGACAAGCAAATGTGTAAAGCAAGAGACATTGAGAGGTGATAGCAAGGCCCCAAAGATTCCACAGCCTGTCGTGGTGCCTAATGTCCTATTATTAATGGCTCTTTCCTTGGGTTCTTGAAGGATTTTGTTTTCTTGTGACAACTTTAACAAAAAACAAGAAGACATCGCTGGAATAGAACAGGCAGAGGAGAATCCATGCCAAGGAACAGGGGCCTGGGTTGAATGGTGTGAAGATGGTGATAAAACTGTTGTCTAAAATAAAGAGCAACCATTGACCAACAGATTAATAAATCAGGATATTCTTTCTACACACCTACTATCTTTAAAACATTATGCCAGGCACTAGGAAAGATACAGAAACATATGAGGCATGGTTACTGTCTTCACAAAGTTTTCTGTCTAGCATTTGGTGTTTGTTATGATGTCAGAGAATGAAGGGATGGTTAGACCTAGAGCCAAGAATAAAAGTATGGTCTGTATTTATCCTCAGAAAGTTTATATACCTGGTGCAGTGCCAGAGAGGCCAAAGCAAGGCACGTAAGGGTATTGTGGGACCATAGCGAACACAGTCTAGAGGAGAAGATACAGGAATGAAATGAATGATGAGCTAATAAAGTCATTCTCCCTTGGTAAACACTTTTACTCTTTAGCGTGAGAAGAGATTACAGGCTCTGGTGCCTAGAGAATTTTATGTCCTTTCACCAAATAAAAAACAAACAAACCATAAATTGGATTTCAGGTCATTAGCTTGTTACTATTTTTGTTACAAAAGCTTTTTGATTTTGAGAGTTTTGTTTTTCTATTTTAAAGACTCACCATCAAAGTTTGCAAGTCTCCTAATATCTTCTCCAAGTTCTGAGGTAACTGATAGTGCATGGCGAACTTTAAGGTTCGTTTCCCTGTGAAATTAATGGACATGACATGAATTTTTATATGGAACGGCCCAATAGCATCTTACACGAAGCAATCAGGTGGGTGCAGCACATGCCAAATCCAACCCAAGAGATTTGAGAAACTCCCTTGGGATGTTATTCACATCTCGCACACTATCTCAGGAAAGCGGACAGGGTTTTGCCGGCTCCTAAGAATTGGCATTCCACCCACAGCACATCTGTATAACAACGAGGTAATCTGTTTTGCTATTTGAAAGAACAGAGGACATAATAAATATGGTTTCATTCGAACCTACTCAGACATCATGCATGAGTTACAAAACACAATAGGGAGGGGAGCACAATTGCCAAAAAAGGAGGCCAGTATCACTCCAGAGTCGATCTACACAGGAGTTTTACTTGCAAAAAATGGTCATGGCTAATTTCACAGTAGCTGAAATTTAAATGGAAAAGGGAATACAGCTTTCCTTTTCTTGGAAAATCAAGCCAAGAATCTAAAATCAAACAACCAAATGGGAATTCGGCAAGTCACAGGGAGCTGCTCATCTTCTTCCAGGCAGGACCACACATACGTTGGACAGATGGCTGCTTTCTGGTGTTTATGAAATGACCATCATTCCATCTTACTTTTAAGAGCTTGCCACACCAGTTTTCTCACTGAGTTCAAAGAATTCTCTTCTATTGGAGTTCTCTGTCATAGTTCTATCTTTTATGAAAATGTTTAGTATTTGGCTCATTCAGTCAACAAATATTTATTGAATACATACCATGACATTCAATGATGCCCCATGAGGGTTATTGTCCTCTTGAGGGAAACAAGTGGTAGATAAAAAAGCAAATATCATCTTTTGGAAGTACATGTCAAACCATGAAGTAATAGAATTTAGAGCACCTAGAAGCAAATACCTGAGAGGGCATTTAATCTAAACTTCCCATAAATGCGTTTCACAATGATGTTAAGAAAATATGAACTCAAAGTATCTTCATTGGTAAAATTGCTTTCTGCAGGGAAGTTGGCTATATAATTAAAGTTACTTTTTTAAAAAGTGATCTCATTGGTCAAAATCTATTAATTCCTAGGAGGCAGAGGTGAGTAGAGATTGTAATAATAAATAACTTCATAATTGAAAAAAAAATTGAGCTGGGCTTGACAGACAAGAGAGAGATAGTAGTGCTGAGATTAAAGGACTAACGTGTGCATTCATTTAAACAATTTTTCAAATACTAGAAGTAGTCAGTCACACCAACTAGGCCAGACAGTCCTCACTCCTTTACTCTACTCAGTTTATTGTGTCATTCATCAAAGTGTATCATCATTTTAAGTTACTTCCTCAGGATTCTCTCCAATATCTCATTTCCACCTTCAGATGTAGAAACTAAAGGGGAAAATAATCACACATACTCCTTATGATAAAAATAAGATTTTCCAAGACTCCAGATTAATCCCTTCATTGTTGTGCCATATACTCTTCCTTAATCTGGCTCAGCATATGAAACAATACAGAAAGATCCTATGTGCCCTTTACTTGATTTCCCCTAATGATAAAATCTGGAAAAACTATATCACAACCAGGATATTGACATTGGCACAGTCAAGATACAGGGCACTTCTATCACTACAGGGACTCCTCAGTTTGTCTATATAGCCCTACCCACTTCCCTGTCTCCTCCTACCATCTTTAACTCCTGGCAACCAATAGTATGCTGTCTATTTCTATAAAGCTGCCACTTCAAGAATGGTATAGAAATAGAATAATATAGTAGTAACCTCTTGGGAGTGGTTTTTTTCACTCCACATAATTATCTGAAGATTCATTTAGGTTGTTGCATTTATCAATAGTTTATTCCTATTTTATTACTCAGTAGTATTCTATGATATGGATATGCCATAGTTTGTTCAACTGTTCACACATTAACGAGCATATAAGTTGTTTATAGACAAAATAAAGCTGCCATAAACATCTGTGTACAAGTTTTCATGTAAATCTTCAGTTCTCTGGGATAAATGCCCAGAAGTGAAATTTCTGGGTTGTATGGCAGTTGCATGTTTAGTTTTTTAAGAAACTGCCAAACTGCTTTCCAGAGTGAGTGTAGCATTTTACATTCCCATCAGCAATGTGTGAGTGATCCCATTTCTCTATATCCTTGCCAGCATTTGGAGCTGCTGCTATTTTTTTATTTGAGCCATTCTGATAGGTATGTGGTGATATCTTATTGTGGTTTTAATTTTAATTTCCCTAATGGCTAGTGATGTTGAGTATCTTCTGATGTGCTTATTTGCCATCTGTATGTCATCTTTGATGAAATGTTTCTTCATATCATTTGCCAATTTTCTAATTAAATTGTCTGGGGTATTTTTACTATTGAGTTTTGAGCATTTTTCACATATTCAAATACAAACCCTTTGTCGGATAGTGTGCAAATGTTTTCTCCTAGTGTGTAGTTTATTTTTTCATCCTCTTAAGTGGGTCTATTGCACAGAAAACTTTTAATTTGATGAAGTCCAGTTTACCTTTTTTTTCCTTTTATGGGTCATGAATTTTGTGTCAAGTCTAAGAACTCTGTCTAACCCTAGATCTTGAAGATTTGCTGTTTTTCTCAAAAAGTTTTATAGCTTTATGTTTTACACTTGAATTCAATTTTCCTAATAATTATAAGGCTATTCAATATCTACTCCATGTTGGATTAACTTTTATAGTTTGCGGGTTGTTTTTTGTTATTTTAGTGATGGGTTTGTTTCATCTATGTTGTTAAATTTATGTGCATAGTATTTCCTTGTTCTTCTATAGGATCTGTCATAACATTTCCTGGTTCATTCATGATACTGTTAATTTGTGACTTCTCTTTTTTCTTTTTCAGTCCTGCTGAAGATTTATCAATTTTATGATGCTTTCAAAAGACCAACTTTTTTGTTTCATTGACTGTTTCTATTATTTTTCTGTTAATTGATTTCTGCTCTTGTTTTCATCTCCTTCTTTCTGCAAGTTTTAGAATTATTTTTCTATTTTCTATGTTCTTGAGATGAAAGTGACTTGAAACTTTTTCTCTTTTCAATTGCATATTTATTGCTATAAATTTTTCTCTCGATTTGGGAGGCAGTCTTTAGACCATGGGCTATTTTGTCAGGCTGCCAGGTTTGAGTCCTGTCATCAATCTTTCAAAGTTTGGGACAAATTACTTACTCTTCCTAAGACTTCTTTTTTTGTTTGTTTGTTTGTTTGTTTGTTTGTTTTGGGGGAGAGGGTGTCATATAATGGGGCCTATACTTCTACTTCAGGATTAAATTATAAAATCCATCTATAGAACATGTATGGTGGGGGCTTTTGTTTTGTTTTTTTTGTGTGTGTTTTTTTAATATACTTTATTGATTTTTTTTTACAGAGAGGAAGGGAGAGGGATAGAGAGCTAGAAACATCAATGAGAGAGAAACATCGACCAGCTGCCTCCTGCACACCCCCTACATTGACTGCGGGCATTGACTGTGCCCGCAGTCAATGTACATGCCCTTGACCAGAATCAAACCTGGGACCTTTCAGTCCACAGACTGACGCTCTATCCACTGAGCCAAACCGGTTTCAGCATATGGTGGGGGTTTTTTAATGTAAGCATTCAATAAATGTTCATATGCCGGACAGACTAATTAAATCTACTGAAACAGAACTACTCTATGGTCTATAACTAAATTCTAAATTAATTTCAACGTCAAAGCTGCATCAAACTCCTCCTTTTTTCTTTCCCTGTCATCATTCAGTCCAGTTCCAACAAGTCATCTTCTTTCCTGGTCCTTCTTTCTTCAAATCTTGACCACTACTCCTCTCCTTTTCCTTGGAGAAACACTTGAAATTAAAAATAAACCAACCAACCCAAAAAAGAACCCTTCTGAGGAATCTCAGAGAAGCATCCTTGTGCGATATTATTTACATGCGTGTGTTTGGTTCACTGTTACTGAAAGAAAATAAATTCAAGAGAAAAGACAGACTTTTCAAAAAAAAATCTGCAAAGTAATTAGCAAAGGGACTTTGCAATTTAGACTCCTCTTTCTTCCAAGAAAATAAAATGAAGAATAGGATTAGAATTTAAGTCCTGTTCCTAAAACTATTACTCTTAAATAAATTTAAAAAACAATCTACTTACTTATTCTAACTTTAACAACTTACCCATCAAGCTCAGCAGTTTCAATATAGCAAAGGCCATATGGCTCACTACTTGATAGGAGAAGCAGATCAGCCTATTTTAAAAAATCAGGATAAAAAATATTTGAGAAGAGGATATTGGTTGAAAGCCTTCTATGTTGTGTCATCTCTCCACCACCATGAGTCAGTGAGCCTTAGAGGAAAAGTGAGAGAGGTGAAATCCTGTTCCACTTTTCTGTTTTACACCCGGAATCAAACCCTCCCTCTACTTACCTGTTTCTGTTTTGCACCCCATTGACCATTAGAACATAAGCAAGATCAGGGAATAGCATAAAGATAAATAGTCGTTTCATTTACTTTTTTGTAAGAAATATATAAAATTCTCTTTCTTGCTTTGACCATTACTGATGGAAAATATAAAACTTTTCCCAATAGATGAGATAAATGGAAATGTAAGAGCAGGGGACAGGTTAAAAAAAAAAAGTTGGGGATAAACTTAAGTGAAGTAGAAGGAGGAAGTTGAAAACAATAGAAAAATAATAGAGACAGGTAAATTTTAAAAAGAGAAAAGTTAAAAGAAAAATAAAATGAAAAATAATTTGGAAAAAATAAAAGGATGGTGGGATTTAAAGTAGAGGAAAGAGAAGATAAGGCAGGGACTAAGCAAGAGGGCAAGATAGAATAGAAAGTGGTAAAAGACAGTGGAAAACATTCAGAGATTGAGTATTTGGTCTCTCACAGAGAGAAATCATTCTATGTGGCTGTCCATTTGAGTTTTGGAAATGACATTAAAATTTAACTAGAATTCTGGTACCTTGCTATATTGAAAAGTTGTTTATTTTATGTCAAGTTTCAAATTTTATATAAAAATAAGGGGTTTTATTTCCACATCTTAGCTATTGTAAATAATGTTGCAATGAGCATAGGGATGCATATACCTTTGCAATTTAGTGTTTTTGTTACTTTAGAAGTGGAATTGCTGGTTTATTGACAGAAAAATGGATGAAGATGTGAAATGTATAAATATGTATATATAGACAATAAAATATTATTCAGCTATAAAAAGGAATGAAAATTTGTGACCAAATGGATGGACCTATGGGTTATTATACTGGCCCTTGTTGTTCAGTGGTTGGTCTGTCCACTAAAGGGTGTCAGGTTCCCAGTCAAGGTATGAGCTGCAGGTTCTATCCTTAGCCTGGTCAGCGCTCACACGAAGACAGTTGATGTGTCCCCCTCCTACTCCTCTTCCTCCAACTCCATCTCTATCTCCTTCTCCTCTTCTTTCTTTCTTTCTTTCTTCTTCTTCTTCTTCTTCTTCTTCTTCTTCTTCTTCTTCTTCTTCTTCTTCTTCTTCTTCTTCTTCTTTTTCTTCTTCTTCTTCTTCTTTTTCTTCTTCTTCTTCTTCTTCTTCTTCTTCTTCTTCTTCTTCTTCTTCTTCTTCTTTTCTCTCTCTCTCTCTCTCTCTCTCTCTCTCTCTCTCTCTCTCTCTCTCTCTCTCTCTCTCTCTCTCTCTCTTTCCTCTCACCCAGCCCAGACCCTTCCATGCTCTCTTAAAGTATCCTCCAGTGAAGATTGACAAAAAAAAAAATCAAAATGGGTAATTTTAGCTCAAGAATGAAATAGATTCTTCACACCTTCCCTCTATAGTGAGTATGTTTAGGTTACATTGGAACAAATCAGAAAATAACTTCTGCCACCACAGACTTCTGTGACTCATTCATAGATGAAGAGCCTTGATAGTGCAAACCTATTTATTCCTCAGGACAGGGAAAGCATGATTACTGGAACTCATGGGGGAGGAGGATAGCAGACAAATAGTCATTAATTCCAACCAAAACCATCTTCCTTAAAACCCCATTTGTACTTTCTTCTCTCAATTATTGGTGCCTTTTCCCCCCCGAGGCTTAATTGTGTCTCCCAAGAATAAAGCAGCGCCCCTTCCCCCACCTTCCACAACAATAACAAAAAGACCCCAAGTCCTTGACTCTTGAAAACCTGAAACAAATACTCCAATTAGAAAACCTGAAAAGAATTCACCGAACTTCTTTGAGTCTTCAGAACCAATGACATCCTCATAGGTTTATTGGGCACAAGTAATGCTTGTTGAGTTAATAAATAAAGGAAGCCAAACCTCAAGCAATGCTAACACCTAAAAATTGTACAATTCCTTAAGGGTTTACAAAACACTCTTGCATAATTGCATCAGTTTATTTTCTCAACAGTCTTGTGAAAAGATACTACTGTTCCCATTGAATGGATAAGAGATCTGGAAAGATATCTCTTGCTCCACAAGCACTAGATGAGCTAAATAAACTTGTAAAAAGGCCATGGCCTTTACAAAGCCCTGGTAAGAGTGTTAACACACCTAATTGAGGACCCCAAGGCTCCAAGAGATTTCACACCATAGCATGACCACTCAGAGTTTAGAGGGCAATCCTGAAACTAGAATTCAGTACTCTGACCCCAAAATGTATGCTTTTTCCTCTGGTGACTATAAAGTCACTGGAATAACAACTATAAAAAAACAGAAAGCATTTTGCTCTGTATTGCTTTGCTTCGTTGGTGTTCAAAAACCAAAATACAAAGGTGAAAATATTGAGATAGTGGCTCCATAACCTGGAGAAAAGAAAAATTTATAAAATTTATTGGAACCCGTATTTAAATCTTCCTTTATTTTTTAATGGAGTTCTTCTTTATCATCTACAATATTATCTTTTCTCTTTTTGTAGTCCAAAAAATAGAAGTCCAAAAATATCTCATGTGGTATGAGTACACTTAGGGGAAAATATGTTAATATAGACAAAAATCAGAATAAAGTCATGAAAATGTGTGAGATTATCAATAACATTTTTATTTTAAATTTTTATCCAATAAATGCATATTTGCAATTATATGTGCTATATATATCGTTATTTTTGTTTTTTATAAATTAATTGATTTGAGACTAAAAAAAAAAAAAAGATGATCAAAAGAAGAGAAGGGAGAAGAAGAAGAAGAATGAACATCATAGGTTCTTTGTTTTAAAAAAAAAAAAAATCCTTGCTCATATATTTCACTCCCACAAATTTGTAATTGTTCATAAACAGAACATGGCCCGTTTACTTTTTTCATATAGAAAATCATATGTTGCACCTCTACACTGAAGCAGGAAGCTTCTTCTTCAATATGACTCAGATAAATGTTTAAATAAATCTTTCTCTAAAATTTCCAACTTCTCTGTCTCCTATTTTTTAAAGGAGGATTTATTTACAGAAATTAGAGTAAAACAAGTAACTCTGACTAGAAACTATAAAACTTAAAATAACAAAGAGGGCAAGTAGACCACAAAATGGCCTCTCTGAAAGGATATCCAAGACAGGTGCTGATGAGACCCTAATGGGTCCAGAGAAAGCCAAAGCCTATTCTTGCCAGGAAGGCAGTTTAGATCCATTTCATCTTTCTCATCCTTTCATTCGCTATACAAAGCAAACCCTCCTAAATAGGATTTAAATAATTCAAAACAATAATAGGAACTTCCGATTGTAATAATTCAGATGGAGCATACATGTTCTCTTTCTGTAGCTTATCTTTTCTTCAAGCATACTTTAAATGAACAGTATTAATTTTATTATTGAAGGATAATATTCAAATTATGGGAGGACAAACTGTTTTGAAAGTAATATGGAGCATTTTAAAAGCTCTTATTTAATCAAAAATTGTAAATCTTTTGTATTCACTACTTTAAATGATGCCAAAGGAGATAGATAAGGTGATAATCATTCAGCTTTATCTGAGTTACCATGTCATTGAAAGTAATTAATTAATATATTTTTAATACTTTTATTGATAGGAGAGAGAGAGAGAGAGAGAGAGAGAGAGAGAGAGAGAGAGAAGTAAATTTGTTATTCCACTTATTTATGCATTTGTTGGTTGATTCTTGTATGTTCCCTGATGGGGGATCAAACCTGAAACCTTGGTGTATCAGGATGATGCTCTAACCAACTGACCTACCCAGCTAAGGTCAATATGTCTTTTAAAACATTTTATAATTGACACTTCTTACAAATGCATCATGGCATTCCCTCTATAATTACTGTGAATTAATACATATTTACTAAACTTGCAAATGTAAATACTGCAGTATGTTTCAACCCAAGGTACATTATTTAAACAATACTAAGTACTCACAGCAACAAATTGGTTATTTTCCAATTTAATGATGTCTCCCACTTTGACATTCATCCATTTTTCAATCTGCAATCTATGAACAAAAACAAAATTAATTATTTTCAGGATCAGAAAAGAGTTCAAAAAATGTACTAGTATACACAATGGAGCATCATGTAACAAAAGCACACAAGGCTCTTCTATCTAGAATGCTTAATTCAAAGGACCTTACATGACAAAGTCTTTCACTTGAGTGATGTGGAAACCAAGGTTCAGAGAAGTCAGCTGACTTGGCCAGAGGGTCTCAGTGAGTAAGTGATAGCCATGGGGGTAAACTCAAGATGGTTGGTAATCTTTCCACCACCCCATGGTGCCAGTTTTATATAGAAGCTATTAATTCCTGCTTGCATTTCCGTGGCCAGAAATTAAGTGGGAGGGGGAGGCAAGGATAAATTCGGTCACCACATTCTTTTCATATTGTCATTGTCTCAGGACTCTGTGTAACTGAAGGCAGTAAATGAATGAGGATAGAGAAGTGTTATCAGAGAACAGTGTGGATGGTCTTTCTCCACTGTGAGTGGGAGTGGGGTTCACAGCTGGAATAAGCATTTTTGGAGCCCCCACAAGAAGATGGGAAATGTAGAAAACTTTATTTCCATTGAATTACGCCCTTCAGTAGAGCTAGGAGCAGAGGCAGTGTCCATCATTTCCTTTCTACGTGGAAGATGGGTCCAGTACAGCATCAGGCAGGTCCAGTACAGCAACATGCAGTCCACTAGTCCATTGTGTATGGGGACCCACCTGACCATGGGCCCTGTGGGCGAATGCAAATGAGCCCCACAAGCCCAGAGTCACACAAGTCCCAAGAGTCCCAGGAGCACAAGAGAGTGAACTCCTTTGTTCAAGGGATTAAATATCCCACATTTCACACCCTTGCAGTGTCTATGCCCATTCTGGCCAATGACCTTTGTTCTCAGGTGTGACTGACACAAGCACCTTCCCTAAGGTACCCCAACATTACTGGGCATGCATCTATCTCCCCTTTGTTGGACCCTTTGCGGAGTGTAAGGTTGTAGCTTCCTGATGAAGCTGCCCAAATGACTTGCCTATAACATTTGGCCTTTCCTTTGTTCCTTTCCTATTATTAATAACTAGGTTAATTACAATAGTATCAGAGGCAAGGAAGACTAGGTCATAGCAATAGCTGAAGTGCAGGTAAGAATAAATGCAAGAGAATAAATTTTAGAAAGGACAAGAACAACACAGGTGAGAAAAGAAGCCTCGGGCCCTAGCTGATTTGGCTCAGTGGATAGAGCGCCGACCTACGGACTCAAGGGTCCAGGGTTCAATTCCAATCAAGGGCACATGACTGGGTTGTGGGCTCGATCCCCAGTGGGGGACATGCAGGAGGCAGCCAATCAATGATGCTCTTTCATCATTGATGTTTCTCCCCCCCCCCTCCACTCTCCTTTCCTCTCTGAAATCAATAAAAATATGTGTGTGTGTGTGTGTGTGTGTGTGTGTGTGTTTTGTTTTTTGAAGAAGAAGAAGAAGAAGAAGAAGCAGCAGCAGCAGCAGCTGCTGCTTCAGGAGACTGAATGAGAAAGACCACCTACAAGTCATTCAGCCCTGTGGCTAAGGGTGGACTTGATGGCATTCTAATGGCAAGGGCCAACAGCTCAGAAATGAGCACAGCACGGCCAAGGTGCTGTACTGCTTTGTCTGAGGCTCCTGAATACAGCGGAGCCCTGAGTTTATTGTTCATCAAGTTCAGAGGAGTTTTTGATGAAAAGGTGTGGCATCTAGTTGGTTGGGCCCCTAGTGACAATTTAGGCAGACAGGCTACCTGGAGACAGACCACCTGTGGCAGTATACCCCAACCCTAATTGTCCCTTTTGAAACTCTGAAACCTCCGCAAACCAGCTTGTTTTCCGAGTTGCCAGCCTTCATCACACTTTTTTTTCCTGAGTGATTCCCTTTCAGGAGAGAAGGCTGGGATGTTAGGGCAGGTTCCTCAACAAGTTAAGGTGGGCAGGTTAATTTCATTACGCCGTTTTTAAAAACAACCTAATTTACTTTGTTTTATAGGCTGGAAAACAGTTTTAAATATTTATACAACTGTGAAGTATGCCTCACACTATCAACCCTGTTGGGTCATTTGGCTTAAACACTCAAAAATATTTTCTTTAATATGGATCCAAGTACATGTTGTTCTGGAAAGATTTCAACTGCAGCATTTTCATCTCCAGCCAGAATTCAATCATTTCTCCAAAGCCATACTTTCCTGCACTTTATCTAGTTCAAAGACAACAGGAGAACCTCACAAGCCTTCTAAATCTCATTTTCTTTAAGTTTACAGGTATGGATTAGGTGCTGGTTTGTTTCTCCTGGGGAAACCTTCTTTGGAGCTTTAGCCACATTTCCTAGGGGGGCAGAATTTCAGATAAAAGTTCTTGTGAACAGACCAATATGGAGACCATGTCTTTATTGATGGAAATTGCACTGCTATTGACTTGTCTAGAAGTCTCTATTGAAAGGGCATCTGCTCACAATAATATTATATTGTAATAACTAAGCATGGTGCCAGGTGGGTGCTGGAAATAGCGGGGGTGGAAGGACATTTTATAAAGCATTATGATTGCATAACCATTATGCTGTACACCTGAAACGAATACAAAATGATGTTGAATATAACTGTCTTTGAAAAATAAAATTTTAAAAAATAAAGTACATCTGTATCAGGAAGAAGCTGAAATAATATTAAGTTCCACTATCAAACTCTTATTCCTCCTACCTATACATTATAAGGAAGGACTACACCTTACCTCTCCCACCCAAATGGAAAAGAAACCCTAACCACAGTAGAAAGGAAATGTGACAGGAGCTCATATACATTTCAGAGAGCACTTCTGACAGTTACATTTGCACAGGTAAGTGGCAACAACCACTATTTGAGGGAACAAATCAAAACCTGAATGTTTTCACTTAAATTCTAATTTGTTTTTCTCCAATTCAGTATCTTATTTCCCTCTATAAAACCAAAGCTTTCGGAAAGACATTTTAAAGGTGTGATGATCACAAAGGGAATTACTTGAATTAACTGCTACATTTGGGAAAAAATACTAGAATGCAACCTCTTTAAGGAAAATTTTGCAAAAACCCTAGAGCATGGAAAGAATCCATGATATCTATGACTATAAACATCATGTCCTATGGGGACCATACAGAGGAGTGATAAAATCCTCATGCCCATTCCCCTCCTATCCACCTGTATTTTAATAACTGCTTTTTTAACTTATTAAATATTTCCAGATGCAGAAGAACACTCAGAATAATGCATTTGACCATGCTTTGTTAAGATCTGACTATTGATCTGCTCATGTCATTTAATAGTCCAAGAAAGTAGAAAGTAGTACCTATAATACTAGTATATGAATCCAGGATTTCTTACGTTATCTCACTCTAGTCCTCTTTCTTTTTTTCTCTTGCCACCTGCCTGTCCGCTACTCAGAACATATACTTTTCAGTCTCTCTAAGTTCCTCTTCCCAAAGGCCCTATCTTTGGTCACCTAATCTTCTCCACCTGTTCCAATAGAACATTCTCTCCTAAAAGTACTCCAATATTTTGCCTCCAAAGTCTTAAGATTAACAGTATTTGAAATCTTAAATTTTTTCTGGTATGTACAAATTCCATGTAACACAATAACATCTCTGTGGACTATAGGCTGTGGAGATCCTTCACCAGGCAACGATGCAGGCTGATACAAAATTTTTCAGAACTTTAAGCAAGATGTTGTGAAGGTACACAATCATAAGAAAAATGTCCTAAAAAGAAATATTATCCAAAACTATTAGTAATCTGTCAAGAATCAGCAAGCAGTATTCCCTAGGTGTTGACCCTGACTCCAGCACTATTTAATTACCTAATCATTACATTAACTGACACAATGGACATGTTAGATTTGAGGACATCGTTCTATCAAAAAGAGAACATAACCCTTACAAAGAAACATGACTTGAATAAACTGTATGAAGAGGAAGAGGAAGAACAAAATAGATTATTTTAGAGGGGAGAAATTAACACTCTACAGATGTAATTAGAGTTTTGAAGAAAAAGGGCCTGTAGATATTGGTAAACTAGAGGCCCAGTGCATGAAATTTGTGCACAGGGGGCAGGGGTGTCCCTCAGTCCAGCCTGCACCCTCTCCAATCTGGGACCCCTCGAGGGATGTCCAACTGTCCTCCTGTACTGGCCATCTTGTGGTGGCCCTCTTTGACCACATGGGGGCAGCCATTTTGTGTGTTAGGGTGATGGTCAATTTGCATATTACTCTTTTATTAGAATAGAGGCCTGATGCATGGGTGGGGACCAGCTGGTTTGCCCTGAAGGGTGACTGGGATCAGAGTAGGGGTTCCCTTGGGATATGGGGCAGCCTAGCAAGAGCCTGTGGTGGTTTTCAGGCCAGCCATGCCCCCCAAGCAGAGGCCCTGGTATCTGGGATTTATTTATCTTCTAAAATTGAAACATTGTAGCCTTGAGCGGAGCCAAGCCTCCTGCTTGCTCCATGGCCACAGCCATTTTTGTCTGGATTTATTTATCTTCTATAATTAAAACTTTGTAGCCTTAAGAGGAGGCCAAGGCAGGCCAGGGCTGCAGATGTTTAGCCTCTTCCATCGCTGGGAGCAACTCAAGCCTCCTGCCCTTTCCAGCTCTGTGGCTGCTGCCATTTTTGTTGGGATTTATTTATCTTCTATAATTGAAACTTGGTAGTCTTGAGTGGAGGCTTGGGCTGGCCTGGGCTTTCTCCATTGCCAGGGAAACCCAAACCTTCTGCTTGCTCTGTGACCACACTCATCTTGGTTGGGTTAATTTGCATAGTCGCTCCTGATTGGCTGATGGGCGTGGCTTGTGGGTGTAGAGGATTGATGGTTAATTTGCATAATACTCTTTTATTAGATTTAGAATTATAGAAGTATGTGATACCTTGGCTTAACTTCTTATTTGAATACACACCTACAAAACAATCAGTGTGTATAGTATAATCAAAGCATAATTTTTTAATGTTCTTTCCTATCCTATCTTACCACATTATA